AAGGAAATCTGTAATTGTACTTTTTGCTTTTTGCCAATTTACTTAAAAGAATCGTATAGCTTTTTACTGTCTGAAATTAATTAATAAAACCACTAATTATTTCGAAGTTTTCCTGATCTACACCTTATTATTTAAATTATAATGTCTTCATGTATTAATTTCTCAAGGGATCCCTGTAGAAATTTCGCCCACAAAGTTTTTAACCGACTATTTCTAAAATAAGTTAATCTATTTTGTACTTAATAATTTACCTATTTATCTATTTGATAACACTTACGATACCGCGAAACACTAATTATGAATTGCGATTAAGTGTATGAACTGGTTTTTGTACTTTCTCTTGCCTTTTTAACTAATAAATTGTGTTTTTGTTAAATAAAACTCTAAATGTCTGTAATATCATTTATCAATACATGCCACAACATAAATTAACAAAATTACAATATTTTAAAGCACATATGCATATTAAAAGTATATTAAATGCAACGTTAAATCCCAGAAAACAGTTCCACTAGTTAAGGTTTACAATGGTTCAGATATCTTGGGTACAAACAGACTTCTCTTATATGGTATCTGTTGAGTAGCCAACAGACAAATCTTTCCAACCCAAGTCCATAACCACCATGAGGACATGTTCCGTATTTTCGCTGATCTGTGTACCAATAGTATGGGGCAGGGTCAATCCCTTCCTTTTTATACCTGTATATTAAGAGTAATAAAGGCCTTCAGAGAAAGAACATTGAAAATGAAACTTACGCTTCCATAAGTTCTTCTAAGTTCCACATCCTCATTGAACCACCAACAATTTCACCAACGTTTGGTAGAAGAACATCTACACTTTCGGTCAACTTTGGGTTCTCAGGACATTTTTGCATATAAAAGGACTTTATTTCTGCAGGAAACCGACAAAGCATGATGGGTCGATTTATTTGGTCGGTCATTTTACGTTCAGGCATTTCTGGTATGTCCTGAAAATAAATTGCAATATCAGAAATATCCATTATAAAAGTTAGTGGATCTCTTTGCCTTTAAAATAGATATTTCCACTTTAATTAGCCCTTATGAATTTCTTTTTTCACTTAAAGATTAACAAAATAACTAAATAATTAATACCCCGTAATTATAAAAAAACTGCCTACAAATTTGTTACACTACATCTACTTATATTCAAACCCATGAAAACGAAAATAATATATTTGAGATGTATAATATTGACTTATAAACTTCTTAACAACAAAATTCATTCATGACCAGAAAATTTTATAAATACCTCGCCGAATTCATAAAAGCTTCCGTCGTCTTTAGTTATGTTGTTTTTTTTTAGATACACTATTGCTTCTGAATAATCCATTCTAAGGAACGGTCGAGTAGGAACCTGGAAATTTGGATTAAGTTCATACACAACTTCCCCCAAGGGAGACTTTAGAACCCTATCTACAACATCACAAATTAAATCCTCTAAACGATCCAGAAGATCATTGAACGTTATAAAGGGGCACTCTGCTTCTACATGAGAATATCTTAAACAAAAGACATTCATTATTTTACAATATATTATAGTATACAACTTAATTTACTCTGCTAAATGTCTTCTGGTTCTGCTCTGTTCGGCTCTAAAACTTTCTGCAATACAATAAACATCACCCATGGAAGGTAGACAGGTTTCAAGATAAAGCTGTGAACTTTGAGTGAGATAAGCTTCTTCCCTAAAATTCTCATTTATAATTTCAATGCCACTGTGACATACATTACTAATATTTACCCAAAATAATCTAACTTAAACAATGTTGAACCTCCTTCACACATTGTTTGCACTATTGAGGGAGGAGTAACTTCACAGTAACCCCTGTCATAGTAATGGTCTCTTGGAAAGTAAGATTTATTAAGTATGCAATAATAAATACAAATTAATTTATTGTAATTACCTAAAAGCTTTAAGCAAAACTGATCTCATTCTCAGAATTTTTGATGTATTTTCGCCCCTAATAAGTATGTGCCTATTCTCAGCCAAAACATCTGGCAAAGCTTCTTCATTTAGAACTGCATCTGCTCCCCCAGGTGGTGCAAGTCCAATAAGTTCCCAGTAATCCACAAGAAGTTCATGTCCACCAGGTGCCTAAATGTTATATGTACATACAATTTCTTACAGTTAAAACTGTTATTAACACCAAATTATTAATTGAAATTAAACACACAAATAATTGTACTCAATAATATACTACGTATCAAATGCTTAAATAGAATTAGAATTGAATATTTTTCTAAACTCATTAAATATAGTATAACAACTAAAATAATTGAGAGAAATTAAGATAATCTTATATAAATATATACAACTTACCTGTTTTCCATCTGGAACTTTTTTTATGATACCATATAGATGAATTGATGACTCCGTTGATAAAACTAAAGCATTGTATGTTTGACATAATTCATCATTCAAAACACATTGTAAAAATCCTGTTCCATCTCTCAATGTAATAAACATTAAATTTTTGCCTTGCCTACGTAAACGATGAACCCAACCATAAATATGTACTCTTTTGTCTCTGAATCCATTTCCTGTAATTGAAAAATATTTGTAATTATAAATTACAATAAGTAGAATTCCCTGATAAACTTCTGAACACCACTGGTATCTAACTAAAATATATTTACCTATGTCATAAGCATAAGCGTTCAAAGGTAATGATGCAATGTATTTCAAAATTACAAAATAGCAAACCTTCATTTATTTTAATTGTTTTTGCTTCTGGTAAAGTTTCATCTAACTTAATTATCACTCTCTTTGCCTCTTCTAAATTCTTCTCCCGTTTTCGTAGGTCCTCCTCTTCTTTCTTGCCCTTATCAGCTTCCTTATAAGACTCTCTTAACCATATTTTGTAAATTTTTTTAAATTGAGATTTTGCTACAAGTTCAAATTTAACTCCTTCTGTTTTTCCATCAACATAAAACGATGGAAATGGTTCTGAACCAGCAACTTTCATTGCTTTTAAAAGAGTTTTAAAAGGTTTTGCTTCAGTCCCATCTCCGTTATCGTCACTACCATATTTTTCAGAAGTGTACAGAATTTCTACAATAAAATTTTTGAAATATAAAGATATAGTTACAATGACAAATTCTTACTTGAACTCTTAGCTGTCTCGTTAGACATTTTCATTAATTTTCTTAATTTCTCTTAATTTTTTCACTCAGTGCGGCTGACGACTATAACCTCACTATTACTTATTATGCTACACATACCATAGATAACTCAAAAACGCTCGAGAAGAAAACGATCGAGGTGTTGTATTCTATAGAGTCTACTGTTACTGATCTTAATGGTTATTGATGCTTTTGACGTTTATCATAACGCTTATCTATGTTTGACGTTTTGATATGGTTTTAATTGTTTTGATACATTTTGAATGTGTTGTTAAAAACAATTAAAAAGGTTGCAGCTAAAATAGGTAAGTGAAGACTAAATACAATAATATATTTGAAAATTAGTTTGTGCATATTTGATCACTTTCATAAAATACATTTTCTCCTCTTGATGCTGCTTAGTTGTAGCAAATTAATTTAAAAAACTCAATAACTAGCTACATTTCCTAACCGTTTGTAATCCAGTGCTTATGGCTGTTTAACAGCTTTATTATTTGTTATTATTGATTCGTAATAAAAACAATAGTGATTACAATTTTATTGAAATGTTTTTAGGTATTGCTCATCTTTTCTGGGTTCTAGTAATGAATTTAGTCAAACACTTCTCATCAAATTGAATAAAATGCCTTTTACAGTTGATGCTATAGCTGCTCAGCAAGTACAAGAACGTTTAAAAGCTTTACATGGACTAATTTATGAGATAGAAAAGAAAAGACAACAAAGTGAACATGGACTCAATGCCATCACAAAATTTCAGAACAGTCAAGATGATAAAACTTCATATCATTATCAGGTACAGATATTTGTATTAAATATTTGAACAAGTAATGCTGTTCCACTTCGGTCTACATTTTAGATTCAATTTTAGTTATAATTTCATTACGAAATTTTAATATGTTTTGTGATAACTAAAATTACTACATAAATCTTACGAGACTAATAATAATAATATTTAAACAAGTAAATGAGAAGTTTCACTACATTATTTGCAGAAAATCATATACCCATTTGAAATGTGGTGAACTTACTAAATCCAAACAAAATTTCAGTAAATTTATGTAGTGGTCAGCGATTCTGGTACATTGTTAGTTACACATGCAAAATATATATATACAATATCCAAATATTTTGCAATAATCTGGATATTCTCTCTAAAAAATTAGAATCGATATAAATATGAAGTACTTTTATGTAGTTTGTTTAAAGTAAATACAATGTTTTCTGATTCAATTTTATTCCCATTTGTTTCTTTTCCATCTGTTTCTTCTGTTGTCGTCTCAATTGGATTTGCTTGCAATATTTCAAGTGAGAACATTTCCTGAAGAAAAAGTACTCTTTATGGGAAAATTAATAAATTCTGCAGCATTGTCTATGAGTAAATGTAGCTTATACTAGTTCAAGCCATAATGTTCAATTTATGTGCAATTTTCTTACACAAAACAGTAATGGAAAATTTACCTTTCTTTGTTCATTATCTAATTTCGGGAAATATGTTACGTTTAAAAAGGTTTCATTTTTTTGCTTTACGTGAACATCTTCAGCGGGTTTTTCCTGTGATATAGTAATATGAAATAACAACAAATATGCTAACAAAATAAGTGAATCGTATTTTATACGTAACATTCCTTACTTAAATGGCATGCACATTTAATTGTATTATTAATTTCAAGTAATAAATTATTACTGGGATCGTAAAAAAAAATTTTGCTTGTAATGATTCTTATAAAGTCACATGTTGCCATGCAATGCCAAGTAGAAATAAGTTTACTTGATCATAAAATTTTCATTGCATACCTGTAAAAATGTATACTAAACACTTTTCTTAGTCATAAATTTTCATGAAATCTTAATGTTGACCCTTTTTACTAAAAGATACGTTGTTTTGTAAAGTTTATAATTAACTAATCACGGGCATGGTTTTCCCCTATAGCTGCAAATAAAATGCATTAAATAGTTAATTATTTTAGTTTTAAAATGTTAATTTTGCATTTTAAACAGCAAATGAAGTTAAAAGGCTTACTTAAGACGGCAGTTTCTCATGCAGAACAAGAGGAAGATGTAATACGAAAAGCCTTGCAGAAGATAATTGAAATTCGAAATATTAAAAATGAACGCAGAATTCAGGTACTTTCGTTTATAAAAATTGTATACAACTTTCTTTTGTAAATAATTTTTAGGCGCGACATGTGGACAATAAGGAAACCATTAGACGTGGTGCTTGTATGAAAATGTTGGCTAGTTCTGGTCAGACATTGCCTCTCTTTGTCGGAAAAATTGGAGAAGAGCCACCACCTTTGTGTGGCGCTATTCCTGCTGAACCAAATTACTATGCTAAAGTTTGTAACATTTGAATTTTTTTATATTCTCTACTAAATTCAACATCCTCAAATCTGCTTTTGTTGAATAATACAGTTATAATATTAAGAAAGTTTAATTGTCTTTCAATACTTTTTTGCGTTCTCAGTTTGAACGTCTTGTGCTATAAAGTAAATTTTTTCTGTGTAGGTGGGGGACATGGTTGCTGCATTTGTGAAAGTAGGCGAAGGAGACGGCAAAGATTGGATTGTAGCCGAAGTAGTAAGTTTTAATCACGCTACCAACAAATACGAAGTTGACGACATCCTTAAAGAACAAAATCAAACCAAACGCCACACTTTAAGTAAACGTTTAGTCGTACCACTGCCACTAATGAGAGCAAATCCTGAAACGGATCCTGGTGCCCTGTTCCCCCAAGGAACTGTTGTCATGGCCCTTTATCCTCAAACAACCTGCTTCTATAAAGCAGTAGTAAACAAGGTGCCACAAACGCATGCAGACGAGTACGAGGTCATTTTTGAAGACGCAAGTTATTCAGAGGGTTACAGCCCACCTTACGGGGTTGCACAGCGTTACGTTTTCGCAATTAAACAAAAAACTAAGCAGACCTGACAGTCAATTTCTGACAGTAACATGTCAGACTCTGAGAATTCAAACACACCTGAATAAGATGCAACTACAATGTAAGTTCGAAATCACAAATATTTCTTTCAAAGTATACATTTACTTACTTCATGCAAATAAACACATCTTCATGTAAAATGTGCTAATTTTTATTTTATTAAAAATGTAGATTCAATCTAATGGTAAATTTGCACATTCAAATATTACCTTATCTTTTTAGATGTCAAGTAAAAAGCAAAAATTGTAAATTTAAACATTTTTTAGAAATATAAGTTAAATCGTGATTTTAAAAATTTCAAATTGTTTAAAGAATGTAAGTAATTATGTATTATATACATCCAAGAAATCACGTCAAACGAAATACACGCATTTCACAAATATGTCAGAGTCGGGCACAGTTTTGGTACATGGTGCTTGAAAGTGCTTCCAGCCCTTTCACGGCTTAAAAGCACTGCAATTGAAGCCNAATTAATGTTTAAACTAGGATGTAAATAACTTTTTCCCTTTTCAAAGACTTATGTTATTGCTTTGGGTCAACATAGAAAGCTCTCTACCTAATTGTCAATTAAATTTTCTCAATCTCTATTGCGACTGTTTTTTTCCCTTAATTTTATTAAATCATTACACCCGGTAGATAATATATGTTTAAATTAAAATCGTATTCATCCCCATACCGGTAAATCCTACATGAAATCCTTTCCAGATTAAAAATTTATCGCATCGGCGTTAAATTATAAATTAGTTAATAACCTAATGCAAATAAAATGTTCGTCTAATTAAACCTCCTACGGGTTTGTATTTTATTCAGTCCCAAGACAGTTCAGTGAATTCCCCATATCCACCAGAGCGCTCCTCCAGAATATAAAAATATTTCTCCCTGACTGACACAAATCTAAAATTTCATAATGAAGAAATGTAGTTGCTTCTATGACAGTATAAAACCGACGATGTATTTATCTTGCATTACCGGCGTGATGCCGACATTTCCACTAAAATTAAAGCAAAATTACCGAACCGTACACACTGGTGGAATTTTAAACGCGATAATTTTGATATACCTAATAGTCTACTTGTTCTCTATTATCGATCTGGCATATTCCGAAGGGGCAATCATTGCTGAAGGAACGTATTATGGAAAAAACGTCCTATCAAAAATTGGATTACAATTATTTGTACTACTCAGCAATTCTTTTCTTGTGATCGTTTATATTGGAGGACTTTTGCTGCCTAATAAGTTAAAGAATTTATACAACATATTCTTTAAATTGGATTACGAGTTTCGATCTATCGGAATAAAATTTCCGTACAGGAAATACTTTTACGTACAGATACTGATGTACGTTACAATGTATTCAACTGCTGTGTTGGTTTTGATAATAAGAAATCAAGTTAATGCGGCGGAAAGAACGAAGTCGTTTAAGATTTTGCACTGGTTTGCTATGTATACTCCACATGTATTGCAGTTGACATTAGTATCGCAGTTTAACAGTTTATTGTTCTTTATATACTGCATGTTTCGAAGCATCAATGAAAGGCTTGACAGTATGAGAAGAAATATTGAAAATTGTACAACTTTCCAAGTTAAAGAAAGTTAGTATGGAAGCCCGAGGAACTATAAAGACCATCTTGCATGGCGCGTGGATTGCCATTTGGCTTCTTTTCACGGCGACGGCTGGCACGTGGAATGTCGATCCACGTTCCACGCGTTGTGTACATTCCATGTTGCACGGCGCGTGGATTGTCAATCCACGCGCTGGTTCGGTGCAATCTGGAACAGACAAACGCGTCCTAGCGGTTTATTTGGCTTCTTTTCACGGCGACGGCTGGCGCGTGGAATGTCGATCCACGTTCCACGCGCTGTGTAACATTCTCTTTCAAAAAAATTGTACGTAAATAATTTCAATTTTTGACAAAATTGCCAATTGTATTAATATTGATTTTTGAAAAAAAAAAAAACTTTTGACGATAACTGTAGAACCCGAGACATCAATGAGCCTTAATTGATTGACAAATTGAAGCGAAATCGTACATTTAACATCAAAAAGTCTCCTTAGATTCTAATTACAAAATAACTCGATGCCTATACTTTTACTTATATTCGCCATAAGTCATCAGTACAATAACAATTTTTTATATTTCAGTTACATCTGAAATAACTAAACTAATGAAATTACACTATCAACTTTGTGATCTGGTTGATCTTTTCACTTCAATTTATGGAATTTCAATTTTAATAGCTTACGTGGTACAATTTATTTCAGCAATAATCTTTCTAATTGATTTATCGTTTACGTAAGTTATACGAATCTTTACATTATATTATACCAACTGTACAGGTAAGGTAAAACGTTTTGTCGAAATGCTCAAAAATGCAAAATTTAGTGAATATGTGGAACACACTTTTTCAACCACGTTTATCTGAAAATATCCCCTAAAAACTATCCTAAACTAGTAATATCAAAAGATGATGCCGCACTTGATAATTGTATCATTACATGTAATAGAATATCTCTACATTAAATTCTCGACCATAATAAAACATTTTATAAAGAGATTAATAATTTTCTATGAATTAAAATTTTTCTATACCATAGACCCATCAAGGTCGTCCCTTAACAGCGTTTTGCTTCATTTTCTGGGCATGCCAAAGAATTTCTGAGTTAACTACAGTATGTCTTATAGCTGAACTCGTAAAAAGAACGGTAAGGAAGTAATCAAATCTATTTGTGCAGTAAAATACAATAAAATTATTTTACAAGGCATCGTCTACCAAACAATGGATCAGTAGACTGATTATCAAAACTTCTCATTTGGAGTTAATGGATAAGGTAGATACGCTCTCAAAACATATTAGCAGCATCTTTCGTGAATTTAGAATGATATTTTATGTTTCATATAAAGGGGAGTACAATTTTTATAAATGAATATGTATCTATTATTATGTGTATAAAGTACAACAAAACACCTCCCCCTCACCATTGAACTCATATGAAGCTCGCTTTTTACGATCGTATTCCTGTTTTAAAGAAAAATTACAAATGTTGTTTTCAGCTGGACGAATTTTCATTACAATTGCAATATGAAAGAGCTGCCATTATAGTTGTAGATATGCTAGAATTAAATGCGAATTTAATTTTAAAGGTAAGCCAAAATAAAAGCTTTTGTGAATAACACAAAGAAAATTGCCAATTAAGTTGAAAATTTTGGAAGGAAAAATTAGAAAGACGCTCTCGCTCTGGTGATTAGTAATGCACAGCTTTATATTTTTAATAGCTTTGGTCATCGATTTTTGGATACATTATCATTCTTTATCAATTCCAAAAACACGACTTAGAATAATCGAAAGCTGTGTATGGGTCTTGGCTCATCCGTAGTTGTTCCTTTGATAAAATATACGCTTTGACAAGATTCCGTCTCTATTTTGTAGATTTATTTACTACTTGGTGAAGATATTTGCAAACGTTAGTTAATTTAATTGTAATAGTATTATAGGTAGCTTTCTTCTTTTGTTAATTGAATTATCATTGATGACTTTTACTGTACAATTTTTTAATTAGATCGTATTTCGATTTTCTCTAATATAATTTTAAAATTAAGCTCAATTTTTTGAATAATATTAAAAGCATTAGATTAAGCACAACAATCGTTTTTCAACTAGGGAAATAAAAATATTGTGGTATTTTCAGTTCGTTTAATAAGGGAGAAATTTATTTATCATGATATAAAAACGACGTTTTTAAATTGAGAGTTGAAAGTGCGTCCCGGTAATTTCCAAATACCTATGAAATTATTTTCATTGATGCCCCACAACAATTTCTATACATTTTGATCTTTTCAGATGGTTTAATAAAGGAGAAATTGATTTATTAAGTAATAAAAACGACGTTTTTAAATTGAGAGTTGAAAGTGCGTCCCGGTAATTTCCAAATACCTATGAAATTATTTTCATTGATGCCCCACAACAATTTCTATACATTTTGATCTTTTCAGATGGTTTAATAAAGGAGAAATTGATTTATTAAGTAATAAAAACGACGTTTTTAAATTGGGGATTGAAAGTGCATCCCGATAATTTCCAATTATAAAATTCTTTTCATTGATGCGCCATAACAACTTGTGTACAAATTTAAAGAAAAGATAAAACAGTAGTAAACGATTATTAATTGTAAAGTTGGTCTGGCGGATCTCGAATGTCTTTTAATTTTTTTTAAATACATAAAAAACAATAATCCAATTTCAGTAGAAAGCATCTAAGAGGAGGAGCCGTCGTGTTCTAAACATACACTTAGCGCCATCTTTCGACGACTCTGTAAAAGCTTATTGTTTAAAATATGGTTCTGTAAAGCCATCATACGGCATGAAAATGCAACACATAAAATATATCTTCAAGAAAAACTCATTTTCTGGAAAATTACACTTAAGCCCTCTCTAATTCTACTCTTAAATTTATACGAAGCTATATAAACATTAATAAATGTAAGGAAATCTGTAATTGTACTTTTTGCTTTTTGCCAATTTACTTAAAAGAATCGTATAGCTTTTTACTGTCTGAAATTAATTAATAAAACCACTAATTATTTCGAAGTTTTCCTGATCTACACCTTATTATTTAAATTATAATGTCTTCATGTATTAATTTCTCAAGGGATCCCTGTAGAAATTTCGCCCACAAAGTTTTTAACCGACTATTTCTAAAATAAGTTAATCTATTTTGTACTTAATAATTTACCTATTTATCTATTTGATAACACTTACGATACCGCGAAACACTAATTATGAATTGCGATTAAGTGTATGAACTGGTTTTTGTACTTTCTCTTGCCTTTTTAACTAATAAATTGTGTTTTTGTTAAATAAAACTCTAAATGTCTGTAATATCATTTATCAATACATGCCACAACATAAATTAACAAAATTACAATATTTTAAAGCACATATGCATATTAAAAGTATATTAAATGCAACGTTAAATCCCAGAAAACAGTTCCACTAGTTAAGGTTTACAATGGTTCAGATATCTTGGGTACAAACAGACTTCTCTTATATGGTATCTGTTGAGTAGCCAACAGACAAATCTTTCCAACCCAAGTCCATAACCACCATGAGGACATGTTCCGTATTTTCGCTGATCTGTGTACCAATAGTATGGGGCAGGGTCAATCCCTTCCTTTTTATACCTGTATATTAAGAGTAATAAAGGCCTTCAGAGAAAGAACATTGAAAATGAAACTTACGCTTCCATAAGTTCTTCTAAGTTCCACATCCTCATTGAACCACCAACAATTTCACCAACGTTTGGTAGAAGAACATCTACACTTTCGGTCAACTTTGGGTTCTCAGGACATTTTTGCATATAAAAGGACTTTATTTCTGCAGGAAACCGACAAAGCATGATGGGTCGATTTATTTGGTCGGTCATTTTACGTTCAGGCATTTCTGGTATGTCCTGAAAATAAATTGCAATATCAGAAATATCCATTATAAAAGTTAGTGGATCTCTTTGCCTTTAAAATAGATATTTCCACTTTAATTAGCCCTTATGAATTTCTTTTTTCACTTAAAGATTAACAAAATAACTAAATAATTAATACCCCGTAATTATAAAAAAACTGCCTACAAATTTGTTACACTACATCTACTTATATTCAAACCCATGAAAACGAAAATAATATATTTGAGATGTATAATATTGACTTATAAACTTCTTAACAACAAAATTCATTCATGACCAGAAAATTTTATAAATACCTCGCCGAATTCATAAAAGCTTCCGTCGTCTTTAGTTATGTTGTTTTTTTTTAGATACACTATTGCTTCTGAATAATCCATTCTAAGGAACGGTCGAGTAGGAACCTGGAAATTTGGATTAAGTTCATACACAACTTCCCCCAAGGGAGACTTTAGAACCCTATCTACAACATCACAAATTAAATCCTCTAAACGATCCAGAAGATCATTGAACGTTATAAAGGGGCACTCTGCTTCTACATGAGAATATCTTAAACAAAAGACATTCATTATTTTACAATATATTATAGTATACAACTTAATTTACTCTGCTAAATGTCTTCTGGTTCTGCTCTGTTCGGCTCTAAAACTTTCTGCAATACAATAAACATCACCCATGGAAGGTAGACAGGTTTCAAGATAAAGCTGTGAACTTTGAGTGAGATAAGCTTCTTCCCTAAAATTCTCATTTATAATTTCAATGCCACTGTGACATACATTACTAAAATTTACCCAAAATAATCTAACTTAAACAATGTTGAACCTCCTTCACACATTGTTTGCACTATTGAGGGAGGAGTAACTTCACAGTAACCCCTGTCATAGTAATGGTCTCTTGGAAAGTAAGATTTATTAAGTATGCAATAATAAATACAAATTAATTTATTGTAATTACCTAAAAGCTTTAAGCAAAACTGATCTCATTCTCAGAATTTTTGATGTATTTTCGCCCCTAATAAGTATGTGCCTATTCTCAGCCAAAACATCTGGCAAAGCTTCTTCATTTAGAACTGCATCTGCTCCCCCAGGTGGTGCAAGT